TTGGAACTTTACTACGAAATAAGTTAAGAACGCAAGAGAAAAATATTTTGGATACGCCACTGTAAGCGAGATATTATATAATGAAATAAACAGATGGACAAACATACAGTTACACGATCTTTCTATCCCACTTTCTATTCTAGATTGAAATCGAACATTTTTATTTGGTTATCAGTCGACTAAAATGTCTACAACATCAATCCATCAACATTGACAAGAATCATCGTCATCAAGTGTACATGAATGTCGTGAACCATCATCAGAAGAACGACTTCATATTTTCAATAATTTAACCAAATTTATTGAATCTATTCAAGTAGTTTTTTTAAGGAATTGCTTTTATCTGTAAGTGGAAATGAAATTCGATTGTACAGTAGTGTACCAATTTTACATGATAAAATTTAAATGGATGTTTTGAGATAATATAACTGGTATTTTATATTTTACTTTATTTGTTTTCTTATTTTCAGATATTGTGTCACATTGGATATTATTCATCGTCTTTCAAAAAACTACTTTGGTTATGATGTCTGTTATTACGTCAATATAGATGACGTTGGTGAAAAAGCAAATTCATTCTTATTTATCCATTATATTTTATATTGGTTTTTTCTATTTTTCTATTTTAAGATTGTCGATTTAGCTGATGAAAAAAGTTCAAAATCAAAAGCTTAATTGATATCTTCAAAGCATAGTTATTTAAATTTTTGTGATATCATCAACCACATAGCATTCAAAAGAAACGGTTCAGAAGAATGGACAAGCAATGACGATTCGTCTTAATTATCATATAATAATTAATTTTTTCATTTAATTGAATTGAAAAACGTGTAAATAAACATTTAGATTTTTAATTAATTACTTTTAGATAAATGATGCAACGACATAATTCTAAGAACAGTATTACATGAATTGGATCATCAAGTCGTATTGGTGAAAAGAAACCAAATCAGCATAAAGTTTAGTTCAAGGTATCAGTGCACCAACTGGTGCATATGGTTGTGGTGAATGCGAAATTAAAGGTATAATTATATGAATATAATTTATATAAAGAAATTGTTTTCTTTTTTTAATCTATGCTACTTCTCGTATAGGAATAACCGTAACTATCAATTCAAGATCACGAAAAAAACTGCGAGTTTTTCCTCTTGTATCTACAGATCAACAACAACCACGTTTACACACGAATAAAACGTATGATACACTTATAAAAAGACTCACAAAGAATAATTCGTTAAAATATAATGAACTACGTGATCGATGTCGAGGTCACATAAGTCCTTGTGTTCTCCGTGAACTTGCTCATTTTGATAATGGTACAAGTTTCGTTGCTGATTCTTTGCACAATATTTTATAATCGTTAATATTGAAATTGTATATTGATACGAATAATTCAGTTTTACTCCTTGTTAAAAACTATTTTTTTATATAAAGGAATCAAGTTAACGTATCACAAGTTATTTGAATCATTATCATCAATTACAATAACTGGATTTTGAAACAAAAAAGTATCAATAGAGTTCTTTCTAGTTTGTTTTATTGCAGAAAATTTTCACATATCCTTTACGTTTACGATAGTCTAAACAAATATGGCATATGTTGAACGTTTATAAAATCAACAATCATATTCAATCCTATTCTTTTTTAATTTATAATTTGTTTCTTGATATAGAACATTAAAATATAAATATATATGTTAAATATTAATAAAATTGAACGATCATGTTCTATTTTTAATTATTAAATTCATGATTTGACGTCACGATATAGAACACCAAAATATGTTTAACTTCTGAATTTTTGAAACCATATGAAAATTTTCTCCAGATTCATGTTAAATAAAAATTAAATTTATTTGTCGGTGCCAATATTCCCAAACTTTTTTATGAACTTCTTGCTCATTCCTCTCAATCTTAGTATGAACTATTTCCTATGAATACCTTTGAATATGATAATATGATAATATGATAATATGATAATATGCCTTATTTTATTCTCAATGTTAATTTAAACATCTCTAGTATGAATGAATCTATATTCTATTCTTGAAAGAACGATAGAAACAAGTGCAATAGGAATAACTCTCCATTCAGTACAGTATTTGTTAATTTTTTCATATTTAACAAACTTGTGGATGTGATTGATGGTGTGGGTCTGGGTGAGGGTGTGTGTTACATAACAATCTATTGCCCGCACTCACACCCACCCACCCCTAGCCGTGGTCACCCAACAGACCTCAAATTCGAACTCCCCGCACTGAAATACCTCTAGACATGTCTTTTTCAGAAAATCGGTTTTCGATGTTTTTTTGACCTTGCGGACACACAATCGAGTCAGCAAACAATTTATGAATACTGGACTCTTCTCTACGAGAAAGAGAATATTAAGGATCAATTATCACTTGTTTTTAATAATAAAAAATTATCATATCTGTTAAAGAGCACTCTAACAGTAGTAATATTATTAATACTATTTATTTGTTTTCTTTTATTTCTATCTTCGGTGTGTATGTATGTATATGTGAGAGTGTATATCTTCTTCTTTTTTCTCCCTCTCTTTCTTCTCCATTTTTCATATGACGACCATATGGTTCATCCAGGTCTTTCTTCCTGTCATATGAGAAGACAAATTTCTCATCTTCTCTCTATGTTACGTTTACTTCTACAAGAAGATGAATTACCTCATCTTCTTTACTTTCGTCGGCTTTGGCGAGAAGTAAAGGGAATATGCATGATCGCCCTTTCTTCTCCCCTTGTTTCCTTTGGTCTCTCTTCTCATTTTCTTATATTGGTCTGATATCTTACGTGTGTGTGCCTGGATACCAACAAGGGTATAAATAGGTTTCTTTTTCTCTCTAATACAACAGTTAGGTTATAAATTTATTTATTAAATAAACGCGGACTCATTTAAACGAAAGAAAGGGTCTTGTAACAATATCCAAATATCTTCCATGGTGATCTTGATATGAATAATAATAGCATCTTTATAAAAGCAGAATCAATTATTGAAAAGATTATACATGTGTATAGTAAACAATTAAAATGGTATATTTTTGTCGTATTCCGAATCTTTGTGAGTTTTCTTGATTGTATGTACTTGCTAGATATATGACTAAATAAATAAAATCTCAATAATAATTAATTGAAATCTTAATAAAAAAACAAGTAAGAATCTGAAACTTAGAATTATATAAAAACAATAAGAGAGAAAATGATGAGCATCATATTTAAATAGATGTTCAAAAGGTTAAGTTGTTTGCATGGAGTGATAAAAGAAAAAAAAGAGTACGACATATACGACTGATTCTTCATTCTTTTATTAAGGAAGTTCAAGTCAAATCAAATAGATTTTCTCACAATATCTTAAGGTATTGTTGACAAAAAAAAGTAATTACTTTTATTTTAGAATCATTATTGAATATTCTAAAATTTTTGCAACTAAAAAATGAAGATTCGCATATATAGATTGATCAGAAATATGTATTTTATAAAGATAAAGAGAAGGATTCTGATCAAACAGATCAAATGTGTAACGCGTTTGAACGCATGTACCAATGAAAAGGTACAAAGAACGTGTTTCATGCGTTTCAGAAACCAAACGCGTTCGACTTTCAAACGCGTTTAAACGCATGTATAAACGCGTTTAGACGCGTTTAGCCTGTGTTTCACTATTACATAGGTAGCAGATGCACTCCTCACTAATGATATCTATAGGAAATATTGCTGGAAAAAATAAATTCAGAATATTTTTACGTAATATTTGTTAAGATCACGCTTATAAATTAGGGTTTTAGTTTTGCAGAATTTTTGTCATTTATATATATTGATGTATTTTATTATAATTTCATTGTAATATGCAGGGGTGGGGGAAACAAAAAAGGTTGAACAAATAAATATTTAAGATATTTTTTTTTAAAATTGATTAATCATAAACAAAGCGCGCCTTATAAAGATTATTTCCGGCAGTAAATCCTGTATACGTGCTAGGATAATTTGAATGTGAATAAATTCTAATTATAGACAAAGAAATAAGCACTTATAATGGGTCGAACTTTTATGCCAGATCATCATATCATCAAGGATAAATATGTATTAATGAAAAGGAAAATGTATACATAAACTGTAAGAACAACAGAAAGACATCACTATATCTCACGTTTACGAACATAAACAAATTTATTTGCACAAAATTATATTTTTGATTTCTTTTCTAAACGTTTTCGATACCATTAAATTAATGTAACAACTGATACATATTGAAATAAAAGCGACAAAACCGCTTACATTCGTTAAAAAAGAATTCAGTTGACTTTGTGCTAAACTTGTGGTTTGGTCTCGAACGATTTGCCGATAGAGAGAAACAATTGCAGACATCAAATTGAAAATAATGTAAACAGTAATATTGATAAGCAATATTCTGATCAGTTGACGATCTTTGGAACGTCCAGGATTCACCACAGTATTGATTGTATTTGACGTAGAAAAACTCTTGCATGATGTGAGGACTGAATATTCTTGATGGTAAATATTTCACAGATAATCATGAGTGTAGGTATGAGGATGACTTTTATTAATAGATAATAGTTTGTAAATGCTAAATATCCATCAGAATAGGAATAACAGATATAAGAGTTCAGTATAATTTCGATAATGTTGACTAAAATTAGTGCAGGACTGTGAAATAACATAAAAGATATTGTACCAACGATGACACAAATATACGCAACATGATGATTACTATATCGACGTGTGCGTGCATTTTGTGAGGTGAATAACATTCGATCCACTGAGGCCATAATCAAATAATATGAACTGAGAATATCCACAACATATCCGCTGAAATAAAGAAAACGGCAGAAAATATTACTCCATGTTGCAGTACTAATGCTATAACCATATGTTAGCATTAATTGTGGAAGAGTTACACATATTTGAAAAAGATTAGCAATGTTGTATGCAATAAAATAGACTGAACATGGATTTTTCCGAAGATTCTTCCTCAAAAAAAATAATTAAATTAAATATGCAACTGATAATACCAATATAGATCAAAAATGCAGCACCAAATCGAAATAAATATGTTTGTGCTGATGTTAATGATTGAATATAATCCATTTCGGACGACATGATGATTAAGTATATTAATGGTTAAGATGTTTCCGAGGATCTCTAGACGATTGAAAAGTAGTGAAATATTAGGTTATAGGAGATCTGCAGTAAAGTAATAGTATATTTTCTTTGAATCTCAAGTAGAGATGCTCGTTTATCTTTACTTTATAAAGAATAAAGATTGATTTTGTAAATTACAATAAAGTAAATAAATTAATACTAGAAGTGTTTTCTTATCAATTAGAAGATGAATTCAAAAGATACTACCCAAAAAAAGACAATATACTAATGTGCTTCTTTTCTAACTAATTATTTGTCTTTCTACTAGAAAGATTCATAAAAATTCTTTTCCTAATAGTTAAAACTGAAATAGTCAATATGAATTATATCTACATTATAATCACATCCAATAATTGATATTAATAGTTCAAAAGAAAACTGGCGACTCACCTCTATTCAATCTCGTCAAACGTTTGACGACTAATAATTTATCCTATTTTCTCAGTATACTTCTATTAATTAATACCTAGATTTTGTAAAAGAAATTTAATATTTAAACAAATAGTAAATCAATTTAATTTTCCGAGTAAGACTAATTACTACGGAGAATTGCAAATCAATATTATCTATATACATATTATTTCCGAATATCAATAATTACAGCCGGAGTATCAAAGATCAAAAAATAATATCTATCTCAATTATAATTGTTAGAAAATAAATCACATTTTATGTATATGGTCCGATATTGAACATACCAATTGTAACAAGAAATAAAATATAGATTAAATTAGACGATTATTATCTTTAATTTTCTAAACTGTATATTCATAGACGAAATGTCTTTATATATAATAAAGAATATATATTGTGCTACTCTGTAGAAAGAAAAAAAATATTACATATGACTTATGACGTCAATATTTTGTTTCGTTCTTTCATCCATTATATTCGCAATACATCTTTTCTTCTTTCTATCACATCAATGAAAATTTTTTTAATGCTATTTGTCTCACTTAAAATGATAGATTAGATAATTTTAAATGTTTTTAATCAATTATTATATTACATGAACGATTCGTTCATTGTACTTCTTTTTATATTTATATCTATGTGTAACAAAGTGACATAGTTTATTGTATGAAGAAGAAGAAAAAAATGAGAAGAAGATAAGGTGTTTTATCATTATTATAAAGAGTAGAGAATGAGAAAAAAAAATCTAACACAATCTATACGACTATCATTTCGT